CCCCAAAACCCCAAAACCCCAAAACCCCAAAAAGCATTTTTATGGAAATAAATAGTGTTTATTGATTAAATATTTGAAAATAATGTTAATTTGGAAATAAAGCAAAATTTATTATAGTATAGTGGCTAAATGTATTCTCTAATTTGATGTTTATACTTCTCTTGTCAATTACTAGATTCTGGTTCTTCAACAGGCTTACATCTTTTCTTTAAAAGCCTCATCCAAATCATATTGTCACCTACTTGAGGCGAGTTTTTTCCAACCTATGAGGCAAATATTTTGGTCAGATTAACTGACCTTGTTAAATCATAAAATCTCTCTTCCTCATTGTATATCTTAAGCATTTTAAATGCCTTCTTTATATAATTCTCAATGTCTCTACGCTTGTATGGTATGCTCCTATCTGTAAATATCCTGTTCTAATCCTCTACATACTTTTAGGTCAGATTGAGCAGCATGAATATTTCTTAGTCAACGAAGTATAGCTTATCTAGCAAGTTATTTAACTTGGTCTTAGTATACTTGCGAATATCCTCATCAGGCTGGTAGTAAGATGTCTGAGGGGTTCTTGGTCTGCTTGTCTTAACTCCCAGATTCTTGCATTATGATACACTATAGTAGTTATCAGAATTTCTTGCGCTAATTTGACTCTAATCTAACTTTTCCTTTTCCTTTTATTTTATTTTCGATTTCGGTGATTTTCCAGCTTAGCATCTCCCTCTTTTTCGTTTATTACTGGCATTACTCCAATTTGGGGTGTCTGATTCCTATTTCTTAATTTAGGTTAGCCTCTCTCGCATTGAGGGATCTCGACTCATTTCGCATTGTAAGTTTTGCTGGCTTTGAATCAACGGTTATTATATTTATAAATTGAGTTTTAAATTATCTAATACAGTTTAGAGGCCAATAGCTACCAGGTAGTTTTATAATTAAGTTTGAAAATCATGAGGAAATCTAATTCCTTATTAGTCCAGCATTCGCATAATTTGCTCATTATTGAGTAATTTCTATTGGTTCTAAAAATTTTTCTCTATTTGAACGCTTTTTTCTATTTTTTCAAAGTATGCTTTATTTATCTGATCTTGTTCCGATTAATAATCCTTTATTAACTCAACTATGCTTTTTCTATTTGATATTGTCGAGTTTTAATTTTTTATACTTGGTTCAATCGTTTCATCATTTTCTTTCTTATTCTAAGTTTTAAGTTTTAGCTTTATCTCAGGATATTCTACCTTTAATAAGGTCTCTTAGGTATGGCTACCTAAGGTAGAATAGCTCTTAAGTTCAGGCTAGCTAGGATGCTCATTTTTGAAATAGTTTTCTCTAATACATTCTTTCGGTGAGTTTACTTTCTAGTTTGACTACTCAGAGTATCTTTAGATCTATTCCATAGTCACTCTCCCATCCAATGCTTCCTCCTTGATTTATTCTTCTTCATTTTAATTAGACTCTATCTGAGCCTCTCTTCCCTCAATTATATGCCGATCCTGAAATTCACATTCTTTAATAATTATTATTGTTTCTTGCTTTTCTTATTCTTCACTCTCTAGTTTTGGCTAGTCTTAAGAAAATTTTTATGACTATTGCTGAGTTTCTTAATTATAATCCTGAGGTATTTCTTATTAAATCTCATTTTTAAGTTCCTATTATAGCTCCTTATCTAGAACTTTCAAATTTCTCTTATTATTTTATGATGACTTTTGGGTTATCGACTTCTGACTTGATTTCTAAGATGATGCCTTTGACTGCTTGCTTTTTTAGCTTCCTTGCTTAGATCTCTTTTATGGTAACAAAGTCTCTTCATCATTTTATTTCTTATATTTCAATTTAAAAAGTCTTTTCTATATATCAGCAAAAGGAGATATCTAATATCTTCTTTACCTTAGATTTAATTTGAACTATCGATATTCTTATGAATTATGGGTTGTCCTTCCATAATATATGTGATCCTAGCATAGCAAGTGAATATTCTATTGATCGTTATAGTCAAACTTTAACATCTCTACTATGTCACAAATTAGATTAATCGAACTTAAGCATCTAATATGAAAATGATTAAAGCAATCTTAATCATCACATTGATATTTTAATCCTATTTTTTATTTGCAAATAATGCAAGGATCGCTAGAATTTAAAAATCTGTGATTGTCTAAGTCTTTGGTTTTAATGTTGACTTAGTTTTTCATGCTCAAGTTTTGATATTTCATATAAGGATTCCAAGAAATACATATAGGGTGTAGCCAGTCAATTTTATTTGATTTGCCTCTAGCTTGCAGCTTACACATTATCATAATACCTTTTCTATCTGGGCATAGAAGGCACTTAGGTGATTCAATATTTGCTTTCTTTTATTTAACTAGTTGAACTAAATATTAGCACCTTTAACAAAACCAAGCTTCCTCTGGAACTTTTGCAGCCAAATCGATTTAATAGCAACTTTAATGCACAGCTCCTAAGCACAATTCGCACACTACAAGATGGTCATTTTCCTCAGAGCAGTATTGAAGACATATATCGCACTTGATATTCTAATCGTTTTCATTTTCCTAATATACTATATAGGAATGAGTCTCCTTGAGTTTATTTGTAATCTCCTCGGTCTCATCAAGCAACAGCGGTTAAATGTATTATTTTATTGATTCTCTTATATCTTTTGATTTCCTAGTGGAAGAGATTTTTTACTTGGATTCTTCTAACGACTTTTATCTTTGTGTACTGCTTTGTACTCTAGAATTTCTTGAAGATTAATATACAGAAGAAGCTGACTCTGAGGACTGCAAAGAGGTTTACTCATTTCTTATTGTATTTGGTGGCTTTAACTGTGACTCATTATGTGTATCATTTTATCTCTCAGACTCAGTTTCTCCTAATTATCTTTAACACTATTCTGACTCTTAATGGTGCTTCTAATTTAGCGCATAAATTTATTCCGAAGTAATTTCTTGTTCATTCTCAATTTGATTTCGCTTATAACTCATTCGGGGTTTTGGGGTTTTGGGGTTTTGGGG